TATCTTATACCTTTTAAATTAATTTATTTTTGCTCTACAGGATATGTGAGGTATCTTGATTCCTGTGGTGCTTCTTCTTCAAGAACAATAAGTTTAAAAAAACATTTTTTTTTTGAAAAGTGATTATTTGTTTTAAAAACTCACATCTTGCTGTTTGTGAAACCCTGCTTTAGGAGAAGAAATACTAGCAAAATACATTAAATGTCGTGTTTTGTTTTTAACCCTTAATAAACTGAAGCCAGGAGGTCATTACAACCCCTCCATCAGACCCCACTGCCTCAGATATGTTCACTGATTTAAGCCTTTGTCTGTTGGTGCAGCTTTCATATCTCAAGTCTTTATCCATATTTTCATGTGTAGGATGTGTTAGGTAAGAAAACCGGAACGCATTTTCATCCTCATGGTTAAAATCTGTATTTTTGGTGAAAACTATAAAACAAATCACTTTGTCAGAACTCATAAAGTTCCTACCACACCCAAACTTGTGATACAGATTATAAAATCTTCACAATGCTTTGCTATCTTTGGATAGTTTATTTCAAGTATTGTTAACTTATTCCTTGAACCAGTTGATTAGTTTCCATCTTTTATTGTGACACCTTGTTAAAGAACTCTAAATGTCTAAATAAAAATCTGCTGTGAAGACGTCAAATCATGTGAAATCTTTACCCACAAAACTTATATTTTAAACAGTCCAGATTTTAAGTCATTAGACTAATTTTGTAGTTACTTTACAGTGCATGTGAGCCAAAACATCAGTAGATGTGATAATACAAAAAGATTATTGAAAAAGAGAAACATTAGAAAAGGTTGATGATGTTGTTTTACCATCCATCCTGCAGGACAGGAGCATGCTCCGGTCACATGATGACACACTCCTCCGTTCTGACACGGACATCTCTCCTCACACTGCTCCCCATGTTTACCTGGAGGACACAGGTTTTCACAACTGGAAACACAAAACAAGACCTGGTTATGACTTTTTACATTTGTTGCCATTTTTTGCACATAAGTTTTCTTCCCTTTTTTTTGGTTCCAAATTATGATAATACTTTTGTCAAAATTGCAAACACTTCATTTAAAACATCATAAAACAAACCATCAGTTTCATCACATTAACTTGAGTTACAGTAATGTTAGATCCCAACAGAAGTCTATTCATCGACTTCATCCAGTTCTTCTCAGTTATGTTGTTCAAAACAGTGTTGGACTGTTTATAACCGAGTCATAAGTAACCCGTGGCTGGTTATAGCCCTGTGAGTTTTTCAAGGATTACAAGAAGCTACAATGGAAGAAAAAAAGCCAGGAGAGTTTTACCTCCTCTAAAATGTCCTCTGCAACATTTATTTGTTATAATCCACAGACTTATCCTGAAAGAATATGCTTCGGTCATTTTTGCAACACTTTTCATAAGCATGCAGTGAGACATGCAGTAGCAGGGTCATACAGTTGGACACATTTGCTCATTTAAAATGAGCAGGTGTATCATTAACTAAACTGTTGTGGTGTTACAATGAGAGAGTTGCTTCCCTGTGATTAGGTGCAGATGGAAAAAAACTATAATTTAGCATATTGTTGACCAGTCCCATGAGTCACTTTCTTCCAGGTTCAGATCTGAGCAGATTACAAAGCAAAAACTGTCCATCTTACCAGGTTTTAAAATCTTATATCCAGCCAAAAAATATTTTGATCTTGTTTTGAGACTGATTTACGAAACAAGAACTGACTGTGTAAGAATAATAATCTTGTTTTCAGAATGTGTAAGATTATTTGTCTTGTTAATCTGAAAATTTGACTCAAATTGCGTCAAACATTTCTGCCAATGGAGTAAGAAAATTTTACTTGGTAAGATTCTTGAAATACTTGATTTGACTAAATTTTTTCTTATTTCAAGAATCTTACCAAGTCAAATTTTCTTACTCCATTGGCAGAAAATTTTGACTTAATTTGAGTCAAATTTTCAGACTAACAAGACAAATAATCTTACACATTCTGAAAACAAGATTATTATTCTTACACAATCAGTTCTTGTTTGGTAAATCAGTCTCAAAACAAGATCAAAAAGACTTTTTGGCTGATATAAGATTTTAAAACTTGGTAAGATGGACAGTTTTTGCAGTGTATGTAATCTGACTCAATTTATGGAAACAAATATTGAATCTATTAATAGTCAGTTACAAGCAGATCTTCAGACATTTCATGGTTGGCTTCAAGATAATCTTTTGTCAGTTAATGTTAAAAAAAACTGTGTGCATGTATTTTCCCTCACCCAGGAGACATTTCAGGATAACAAATCAACTCACTTTTTTAAACAAACCCCTTGATATTGTCTCTACCTACAAATATCTTGGAATTACTTTGGATTCTCATTTGACTTATCGTGATCATGTACAAGTCTTAACCACTAAGTTGAAACAGAAATTATACGTTTATTCAAAAATTAGATCCAATCTGACATCTTCTGTTTCAAATATCTATCTTCATGCCATTATACTCTCAACCATGTCGTACTGTTTACCTGTTTGGTCTCTCACAACAAATGAAATCTTAGAACCCATAGTTAGGCTCTACAACAGGGCCTACAAAATTCATAAAAAACTTCCTGGTTGGACTCATCACTGTACAGTTCTTTCATTGTCTGATGCCTTGACTTTTCAGAATTATGTTTTGTATAGTGGTATTAATTTATATTTTCAGATCTTCCAAGGTGCCAATTATGGAACTCTCTGTGCATTGCTGCCCAAATCAAATTCTGGAAGTGGTCATTCAACTAGATCTGTTACAAAAGGACAACTGATATTACCAACTTTTAAAAACTGTTACGGCCAGAGGTCTTTCTTCTATGTTTATACTAAAGCATGGAATGACATTCCTCAAAACATAAAGTCCATTTCAAAACTACAGCCCTTTAAGAAGAATCTTGTCTGCCATCTGCTGGACACTTTTTGTTGTTCTCATATTTAGACGTCCTATTTTGCAAATGCTGCCTTCCTGAAATTTGGTATGCTTGTTTGTCTTTGTGTCTATGGTGTAATAATAATGATGTGATTGTGATGCTGTATTTCTGAGTGTTTTATGTGCTGCAGAATAGGAACCTGCTGTAAAACAGCAATCATGCTGAGTCAGGCTTGATTTTTAGTAATCTTTTCCTGTTGAATCAATAAATCAAATCAAATCAAACAGTGTGCAGGTTCTAAACCAGAGAGACCAATCCTGGAATCTAAAAACAAAATCTAAGCATTAAACTTGTTTCTATAAAGTCCACCCAGTAAACATTTAAATGGCTTCTTGCTGTTTGAATTAGAAACAGGAAACAACTTCCCACTCGCCCAGCTGACTTACAAAGCTCCAGTGTATCCTGGCAGGCACTTGCATTCTCCGGTGACATGGTGACAAGCAGCCCCGTTCTGGCACTGGCATTTCTGTTGGCACCCATTCCCGTAGGTCCCCAGTTCACACTGGGCCTCGCAGCGCCACCCTCTGTATCCAGGAGTGCAGATGCAGGCTCCAGTGATAGGGTTACAGAGGGCTCCATTCTGACACTGACATTTGTTGCTGCAGTGGGGTCCCCAGTGGCTGCTGTCACACGCTGAGAAGATGAAACAATAAAAAATAAAAATTATAATTGATGTAAATTGATGTAAAAACCACCAGTTTTAACTTGAGATCTGGGTTTGTTTGAGAAACATACTCTGGAATTTTTAGATGGTTTGTTTAAAATAAACTTAAAGATTGAATTTAAAAAAGAAACGGGGATCATCAAAATGAACGAGAACTGCTTCTGCTCCCTTTTGTCAGTCTGATTATAAAAGTCAAACATTAGTGAGGCACCAAGTTTAAAATAAAATGTTTGAATTTAAAATTTAAATGCTTTAATCAGCAGTTTGGCTACTAAACTTCTCTCCATCACTGCGTGAGGCTTGAGAGCTCTTTTTGTAGGCCTTTCATTTCTGGGGAAAATTATGGGAAATAAATAAGAAGTAAAAAAAAACACATTTTTTACACTGATTGTTGTCACTTAGAATGCAGTGAGAGTAAAGACGTGCATAGAAAACTGATTGACAAGGTACATGTGGAACAAAACTTAAAGGGCCAAAATCACACCTGAGCAATGCATGCCACTAGTTTCTCCATACAGGAGGCGTCTTGAAGCTGTCATTGACAACAAAGGCTTTTGTACAAAGTATTAGATAAATTTCAGTAAGTGTGTTCAATACTTTTTCCCTGTGCCATTCCACATTATTACAAATAACTTCATTTCTGGACATTTATGGTTTGATTTCTTTGTATGTATGGATCACTTGGGTTGTTACCAACATCTGGTGAAAATTTCATGTCATTAGCACCTCTAGTAATATATTTACTGAGAAAAATGTTGACGTGTTCAATACTTATTTTACCCGCTGTATATATACACAGATACATGTAATATACAAATGTTATATATTCCTTTTGAATAACGTTTTATTTCTTAGGGTTGAAACCAAAGCAGGTTGCTCATGAAAAAAAAGCCAACCTTAAGAAAACTAGTTTGAAAATCATCTCAATCTAAAGTAATCAGAGACAATTACTGTGTGGCCCGACCCAAATAACTCATTAAGCTTTGATAATGAGCCGGGTTCATTAACCAGCTGCTGAGGTTAGCCTCAACGAGACCACACCTACAACGTTACAGGAGAACATATCAGGATCCCATGGCCCTAAAGACAAATAAATTACAAGGGAAAACTGGAGAGAGTGGAGAACACACCAAACCTCTCATTATGGGTCTCTGCATTATGGAGGTCTATTTTAAGTTCAGGGAAACATGACATTTTTAACAAAAAAAAGAAGGACAGATTGTTGTTTCTGACAAACTTTATAACTGAAAACGTGTTAATTTTTGTAGTCATTTAGGATTAAGTTTTAAAAACTTACAAAATATTTAATATTTTTTGCTAGAAATAATACAAATCATTGCAATTCAATATTCAATCAAATTTTGTCACATTTCTCCTGCAACACTAGATCTGCACAAGTCCTAACAGCTGATGTTTTTCATTAACAAAACTGTTCATATTTGAGGGCCTAGCTTGGGAATACTTTAGGATCCAGGTACAATTAGCATGAAAATAACAAATGGCTAATTTTACAACAAAACTATGAAATAATGAAACTTTTATTGCAAGCAGAATATAATTGGACAGGATTGTTTTGTACATCACAAACAATTAACCTTTTCAGGAGATCGCTGTTTGATTGTTAATGTTTAGTTTTTGTAAGTTTCCTACTTTCCAAAATTTTTAAAATCGTTGACAAATATTTTCTTCTTTGAAATACATTAAAATATTTTCTGTTCCTTCAAAAACATTGTTCTTTTTATTATATGCTCTATTATAGCTGTGTTATATTACTTTTAAATGTTAGTGAACCTTTTTATTTCAGCTACTCTTTTGCTACTTTGCAGCTTAGAGAGCTGATTGCTGCCTTTCACCTTTAGAAATTGTTTATCTACTTTTAACAAGCGGTTTGTTACCTTTAGCTATTGGTTTGATAATTGTAGCTTTAAACAAGCCTCACAACTTTTTGAGAGCCTTAAGGTTACTTTGAGCATTTTCCTAACCTTCTGCTAGCTTTTAGTCAATCCTTTGGTGATTTCATATAGGGTTTTTTCCCCCCAACTTTTAGCTTTTTCTTCACCTTTTTCCACATTTAGCTTTTATCCATTATTAAAATTTTGTTAGTCTTTTGTTAGTTTTACTTTTTAGTTAGCCTTTTTTTTTACTTTCAGCTTCTAGCAAGCCTTTTTCTACTTTGAGCATTTAACAAGTATTTTGTTACTTTAAGATAGCTTTTTGTTTTGTTCAGTTTATAGCCGCCATTTTCCTATTTTGGCCTTTCAGTTTTCCTTTCGCTGCTTTTACCTTTGGAAATTGTAATACATTTAGTTTATTAACTAGACCTTTGCTACTTTAAGCTAGCATTTGTTGCAACCAGCGTTTGTATTTTAGCTAGTGTTGTGCTTGTTTTTAGCTTTAACAACTCAGTTTCAGCTTCTTTGGCAAATTTAAATAAAGCCATTCAGTGTTTAAAACACATACTGCATTTTAGCAGAAGATTTGATATTTGCAATTTTAAATGATAAATGGCTTGAAGTTAAATACAGCACCTTATTAATTCCCTTCAGACTCCAAAGCACTTTACATTTCAATCATTCACACACTGATGGTGGTAAGCTACACTGTAGCCACAGCCACCCTGGGGCACACTGACAGAGGTGGGGCTGTCATGCACCTGCACCACCATCAGTAGGCAAGGCGGGGAAGTGTCTTGCCCAAGGGCACAAAGACTGAGACAGATGGAACGGGGGATTGAACCGGCGACCCACCAGTCACAGGACAACTCCCATAACCACTTTTCCACAGCCGCCTAGTTGAATATTACAGTTAGTTGAATGATTTGGTCACCACTGGGTCTATGATGACATCTGAACAACCCGTCATCTGGCAGTAGTTTTTTAAAACGTTTGCTCTGATCGTCAGAACACAGGGTGTTGGCGGACTAATATAAATCTGTTCTGTGAGCTTCTACAGCCTGAGGTCTGCAGCTGACTGTGGTTTCCCTGTACTGATTAGAATAAACACTCGGCAGCTGCAGTAGAGCTACTGATTGCATGATAATGTCCTTGACCTCCTTTGTTTTTGTGTTTGAGCCAATAGTCTTTTTTTTAAAACTCTGGTTAGATGATAAAAACCTGACATAAACATTTACCACAAAGCAAAAATACTCCTATGCTCAGCATCTGCATGCTATTTGCAAATTAGCAAGAAAAAAAAAACAGTCTACCAAACAACACTATATCCTTTTAAACTATAAGGGTGATCTTTATCAGTCCTTTCATTAGATGCCATGATTATAGCAATGTTCTTTATTCCAGGGTAAAGAGTACCAAGCCAAAACGATTCACAGTAAGCACGATGAATAACAGTATCATTTATTTTTACTTGAATGGTAAGAGAAATAAAGCATGTGTTAATCAGTGGGAGATACAGGGAGTTGGGTTACTGGATCCAGGTAAGTTTTGTTGTAGACAAAGTTAGACAATAAATAGCAATGAAGTGCTTAGTAGTGTGTTTTTCTTTCCAGGTGTGCACAGGACAAAACAAAACCGTGAGCAGGCAGAAAACAAGCTCTTCTAACCTTTTCTTAACTACCGGTATGTACAGTACATCACTAGAGCGAGCCCTACTATTCCACCCACTGTTTGCATCACCAACAGGGCAACAACTCACAGTCCACAAAGCAACTAATTGATTAACAGCAAGTTCAACAGGATCTGTGTCAAACATTGCTTGTAATCTTTTTACAATCAATTAATATGTGTTCATTTCTTTCAACAATCATGTAAAACAGAAAGGCCAGATTAAAGTCACCAAACAACATCTATAAGAACCTTTACAGTCATATGGACATGAGACAGATCAACTTGTACCAGAGTGATGGGAAGAGAAAAGTAAACAGAAGTGAATAATGAGCTTAGATCCCAGTTAATAGGCTAGTGTGCACAAACTGTTGCTGTTTGTAGGTTTTTTTGTGAAATTCAATTCTAAAACTTTCATTTTACAAAATGATAACTTTATTAATGTGAGATTTTATAATTTACACAAAGAATGATTATCTTTTTTGGTAAATACCTTTAAATACCCTGCAAAAAATGTAATGTTCTACAGAACCACAGCTATTTGTTATACAGTGGGGTGCAAAAGTTTGGGCAGCCTTATTAATTTTCCTGATTTACCTTTATAAATCACTGATTGTTTGGATAAAAAAATCTGTTAAATATACCATATAGGGGACAAACATTAAAATATTTGAGAAGTGAAATGAAGTTTATATGATTTACAGAAAATGTGCAATAATTGATTAAACAAAATTAGGCAGGTGCATAAATTTGGGCACCAAAAAACAAACCTTAACTCAATACTTAGTAGCTCCTCCTTTCACAGAAATAACAGCCTCTAAACACTTCCTACAGCTTCTAATGAGAGTCTGGATTGTGGCTGAAGGTATTTTAGACCATTCTTCTTTACAAAACATCTCTAGTTCACTCAGGTTTGATGGTTTCTGAGCATGGACAGCTCTCTTTAAGTGACACCACAGATTTTCAATAATATTCAGGTCTGGGGACTGAGATGGTCATTCCAGAACGTTGTACTTGTTTCTCTGCATGAATGCCTCAGTAGATTTTGAGCAGTGTTTAGGGTGGTTGTCTTGTTGGAAGATCCAGCCCTGGCTTCAACAGCTTCGGCTTTGTCATTGATTCCTGGACATTGGTCTCCAAAATCTGCTGATATTGGTTGGAATCCATGCATCCCTCAACTTTAACAAGATTCCCAGTCCCTGTACTGGCCACACAGCCCCACAGCATGATGGAACCACCACCAAATTTTACTGTAGGTAGCAGGTGTTTTTCTTGGAGTGCTGTGTTGTTTTTCCTCCATGCATAACGGCCCTTAACTCTATTTTAGTTTCATCAGTCCACAGCACCTTATTCCAAAATGAAGCTGGCTTGTCTAAATGTGCTTTAGCATACCTCAAGCAGCTCTGTTT